CAAATATTACTGTCAGGGTTACTCTCTGTTGCCCCCGTTGTGAATGTTTCCTTTCCCTTTGGCTCCCCTCTAGATAGTTCTATTCACACCTGCTCCATATTAAGCTCATTATCCCATCCTTTGTTCTGTTCTCCATATATAAACCCCCTCTGCAGTTCCTCATTGCTGCTTTGGAACTGGCAACCTCTCCAGGTAGTACCCCGCCTCTCGCCCGTAGACAGCTGGAGATGGGCACCAGCACCCCTCGCGACCCCACCTTGGATAAGCATGATGGAAAATGGATGGATAAGAACCTATTGTAAATCTTTGTCTTGTTTTCTATTAACAATATAACCCTAAAAATGCATGTTAAAAAGCTGAGGTACTGTTTTAACTCTGCCAGATCCATCTCCCCAAAATACCTCCATCAGCAACTTTACTGACTAGGAGGTAGAATATCCATCTTCTCCCTGATTTGTAGAACAATTTTAAAGTGAGGATAGTTTTTCTGCCATCAGTCTATGCCTCATCTCTGCTTCCTCTTCCAAATACACAAAGGCAAGCAAAGGTTTTCCATGCATTAGCAGTGAGTGGAAGACCATGCACTCAAAAGGCAGCACACGCATACAGCGAGGGAACAATGGCTCAGGACCACAGCAGAAAACAAACAGACAGGGAAATGTCTAAAAGCTCTTAAGATGAGCGCTGCGTGCAAATTGTTCTTTTGACAGTATCCTTCCCTGCTCACTCACCGCTCTGCCACAACAGAGATACTGAGACAGGCTGAGAAAGACGAAGAGGGAGGGGAGAATGGCGTCTACTGTAGCCATAACAGAGTCGATTGGAGGGGGCCTTATTAAATCTGTTTACATTCCCTGCTGAGCACCATTCTGTCAGAGAGACTTTCAACTCAATGGGACATATTCTGAGGAGTTTTTACACCAAAATGGCTGCCTCTAATTAACAGGGACCTGCCGAGTCTCAGCAGCCAATTATGTTGCTCTCCTCATCCCTGCCCACCAGCGTTGGTGCTGCTCAGTGGTCCACTTCATGTTGGTTGTGAACACTCCAGCTGCCTCTGCTCTCCCACTGTGGAGCCTGGTGCTGGAGACACAATTCGTTGCATCTATGTCTTGCTGACTGTGCACAAACACAGCCCTCTTGGAGCTTTATTCCTAGAAGTTATAATTCAAGGCCTGCATGGGACAGGCAGCACATGTAAAAGTAAGTAGCTGCTAGAAAAAAGTATTATTAGACATCCCTTGTTTTCTTCTATTTTTTGCTCTAAAGATATATAAAAATGAACAACAACAAAAAACAAGGGTGACCTAATATTTTTCTATATAACTTTATATCAATATTTGACAATACTTTTTGTATCCCCCTAAAAGCATCATCTTAAAAAAATAAACCATGCTTAAAACTAAACAGGCCTTGAGTTTAAAGACCTTTTATGGATTTCTACTTTCAATATTTTACATTGTATTCTTTAAAACCACCACATTTCATTGTATTTTATGGGGAATTTATGTAATAAACCATCTGTGACATGGAGACAATAGAATCACATTTTGGTGCAATTTCAGCTCCAAGTCTACAATGGGCTATATCCCTACAGGCTCTGCACATGTACAAGTAAAATTTCTTTCCTTTACACGTAATTTAAATTCTGCTAAAAGTTTTCATTTGTTTTAATGTTAAGACTTTGATTGGGTAATTCTAACACATCTATATCCTTTTTTAAATTAATTTTAATGTACCTCTGTCTGTATGTTTAGGGCTGTTGCTCTTCTAATAGGACTGTCCTGTCACTTTTTTTTTTTTTTTGAGTTTTGCGGCTCATTTTGTGGACAGTAGGCTGACAGGAAAGGGGGTATAAGAGAGGGTTGAGAAACATGCAGCAAAGGATCACAGGTCGGATTCGAACGCGGGTCAGCCAGGTCCAGGACTAAGGCCTCCGTAAATGGGTAACCACTGCTCCACCTGTACGCCCTGACTCTACTGTCATTTAAAAAGACTAACCTATAAACTCTGACTAGCTTCGCTGTTCTGTCTCTGTTCTGACAGCATGATGCTGCCAAAGCATGATTTAATATGGGCTGGTTGTCGATGCCAAGGTTAGTCCTCCACGACACCTAGTAATTTTTTATCTTAACAGAGAGCGATCTCTAGATAACCTGTTGGCAAATTGTGGTACTGATGTTCTGCATCTCTGCAGCTCCTCCACAATTACCATGAATCCCTCTGGCTATTTCTTTTAACACCCTCTTTTCTCAGATTGTCAGCTATGTGAAAGGCCATATGTTGGTAGATTTGTAGTTGTGCTGTGTACTTTTATTTCTGGAAGATAGACCTGAACAGCGCTGTGTGAGATTGAATATTTACAAATCTGTTTGTTTTTCTGCTCTTTGAAAATAAAAAGACCTTCAATTACAAATGCACAGCAGTTTAGTCAAAGCTTTAAAAAAACTGTGAATAGGAGAAACATAATACAGACAAAGGTTTAAAAAGTACTTGAGTGCTAAAAACCAGGAAGAGAATGCAGAGAAAGGTAGGTAAAAACTTGATTTGGTTTCTAAGTGTTTTATAGGAAGAAATGACTCTCTTATAAATCACGGCAGACCTGTATGAATAAATTTAACTGCTAAAGCATTAATATAAAGCTATGAATTAAAATTTCAATGCAGATGTTATTGAAATCAAGAAAAATAAGTGCTGTTATCTACTGAACCCCTTCAAATAAGTACAAATGATGAAAACACCAGCAGCAGAAATAGCTTCTTCTGGCAGCAATCCTCTCCGCTTCTTTCACTCTAAAGCCCTTGTCCATCAATCTCTGTAGCAGTTCCAACTGTCTCAGTCAGCAGCATCCCCAACCAGTGCCCAGATATGTACACAGTTAAATATCAGATCATATCACTTCATGAGTGTATAAAATGGCTGGGCCATCCATTTGGCAGAAATAGTCTCCTTACCATCTTTGGCTGTGTCAGCAATCCCTTCTCTGCCCAGCCCTGGAGCTGTGGGAGCTCTGCCTGACGCCACTGTGTCTCTGTCGTCCCCTATGGAGCGGAGCACAGGGAGGGAGGGACGCACAGCCCGCCGTCAACATCATACACTTATTTTGCAAAGTTTAGGGTTATGGTGGGATTGGGAAGAGGAAGGAGGGTGGTAGGGGGTGGTGAGGGTGTTAAGGATGTTGCATTTCTTTATACACTGTTGTATCTTCATAGTCACCAGTAAAACTACAACAAAGACATTTAGCTCAGGAGCACGTTTTATAGGAATGAAAATGGAAATGAGAATGAGGAAGACATTTTTTTAGTACATTTTTAAAATTACTGCTGCTAAATGTGTTTATTGAAGCTTTCGGATTAGTGTTGTGACTGCAATGACCTTGGTTGGGGTTTATAATGAGGGCTTCCCTCTTGTTCTCTGAGGGTAAACAAGCCTCTGGTTGAAGAGACAGAAGCTCCACAAATGAGCAGGAACTGCGTTCACTGGCTTTCCAGAGTGAAGGGGAGCTTAAACGCCCATAGCTAGCTATGGAAGCTGCAAGAGCCAATTTAGCGAGAGGGGAGGAAAAAAGGAGGTATGACCTCTGCCTTCATTTACTCCTTCAGAGAGACGAGGAGCGGGAGTGAGGAATCAGCTGGGAGGACGAATAAAAAGGCAAGGGTTGAATAACAGGGAAGACACTTCCAATTGTTCAAAGGCAGGGAAGGCAGGAGTGGGAGAGAGGAGACGGAGTCTGTACATGTTCTGTTGTCAATGTGTCTTGTAAACTAAGGCAGGAATGCATAATGGAGGTCTAAATGAGAATGAACTGTCAGTTAGAGAGGAGGGAAGGGGATGGGAAGGGGCGGAGAGGTCAAGGTAGAAAGGAAGACAAGACGCTTCCCAGCTGACAGGTGGAGGTAAATATTGAGATATTTTTGGCATTACCATAAAGACAAATCATCCAAGCCACCTCTAGTTTTAATGTGGTGAGGGTCAAAGGATAACTGTCGATATTGGGTTGGAGAGAAAATTGATTGGGACAAAATGGTGTGAAGTTTTAAATTTGTTTAAATTTCACATGTTTTGTTTTTGGTGCACAAGAGACTTACAATTGGAAAAAAAATAATCTACACACCTCCGTTACAACGGAAAGAGACAGAATAAATATTTTCAAAGCTTTTCCATTGTCTGGTTCCTATGTGAGCTAAAACCACATCAAGCGACCAGGTCACTCTTAAATATTGTGTGAGGTTTCCTTTGATTTTATAAGAGCCAATAGTCTTTTCAGGTGGGGGCTCTATCAGCATGCATGGCAATATATGCCTAGTCTTCTTTCCAAAATCAATCCAAATACTTTAGATTGTGAGGATATTTTCTTAACAGAGCATTTCACAATCATCTTGTAGATAAAGGTTTTCTCATTAGTTTAGCTGAACTTTAATTGTTTGCCAAATTTATTATAGCCCCCCTACCTAAAGATATGACGGATATTTTACTTATTCTTCACAAATGCCACGCAACCATGTCTAGCCAAGAAAAATCTAGTTTTTATCTCAAATTTTCATGTGACTTTAGGGGACATCCTTGGCATACTGCTAATGCCACTGTTGCATCACTTGATTATGACTGTGTACACTGTGTTCAGTATTATATCTAATGATTTCTACCTTTCGCCTGACTGATCTCTTTTGACGGCGAGATCCCTCTGGCTCTTCAAAAGGTCTTAGTGGACCGTGGCTTTTTCTGCGAGATGTGACTTAAAAGAAAATGCCAGGAAATGGCCATTAAAGGTGATTACACTACACAGCAGCAGACATGAGCTGAATATTTCAATTTGTTAACTAATTCAGTTTTAAAGATTACAGGTAATATTAGAAACGAAAAAAGATTTGATTGTTTATTCTGGTCTCCTTTTTTAATTACAGTGGTGTGTAGAATGTATATTTAAATTGTAGGTTTACAAATTACCAAATGATGGAGTTCAGTGTAAACGATGGCATTTACACTTAAATCCCAAGGGGCTAACATGTCCTGCCTGATCTGAATTTAAAGCCAATAAATACAGTACAGCATAACTGGCCAACATTCCTTAAATCAGGAGAAAATTTATGGCACCAAAGGAAAATTCATGTGTATGTATGATTTATCTTATACATTAAATGTAAGATTGATAAGCTACCCTGAAAAAAGGAAATGTTAGGCAGAGGTGAAACATCAAACACAATTTTCACCCACTCTGCAAAGCCGTCACTTTACATACTGAGTGGCGTGCTGCAGCCAGCAGACAGAGCAGAGTTTTGGCTGTATGTTAAAAATGCAATGATAAACATATAGAAAGCAGCAAGCAGATGCATATGGGTCTCATTTCCAACATCTGATGTAGAGCAGGGGTACAAAATGTCAGAAAAATGAAGCTTATGTTTTGGGTGAGCTTATGTCTGTGCATGTCATTTTCACCATCTTTGGATACAATGTGTTGAAATATTTGATTAAAACAAAACATTTACAGGTGACACATACACACTCACACACTTCTTTCTTATGCTCACTATCCTTAGGTTTATGACACAACACACATGTGCTGCTTCAGATAGAATCTGCAGTACAATTACACCAGCCAACCACTGAGATGAAAAACCGCTCATGGATACATTTTCAATTATTTAGGGAATACATTTCAGTCGGCTCTCAGATGCTGAAAAAAGTTATTATATAATCAATACACTCTATAACGTCATTAATATTTGATGGCACAAAAGTGCTTCCTGTCTCCCTGGGCTTCCTGCCAGTGGGATCTGGGCACTGCAGTCAAAATAGGAGAAACCTTCTCTGCCTAGAGAGAAGGAGCATTTGCTTTTCTGTAATATTTGAAAAAAAAATTCAATTTTCAAAAGCATCACGCAAAGTCACCTGGAGCACATTTAGACTGAAATTTAACATGATCATAGTTGAGAGGAATTCTGCTTTCCTTCCAACCAGTATGGTCAGCGATGTCACTCCTCGTCTGCTTTTAGTCAATAAAACAGCCATTTTATTATTGCTGGCCTGATGCAAGCTTCCCTCTCTCCCTTACTCATACAGAGCTTAGACAATCAATTTACCCTGCCTTGGCTAGGAGAGATGGAGGCTGGGGAGACTGCAGAGCAGAAGTTGTGATGCAGGATCACTTCACAGATAGACAAACTGCCCTGAAGCTACAAAATGAAGCCAGTATTCAACTGATCTGTGTTAATAGACTTTGTTTTATTATCTTAGGTAATATCTATCATTTTTCTTCTGCTTTTAATTAAATCCTGACCCTAAATCAATTGCAGAGAAAGCACATGTCCCCCTTTCTCTGCACCCCAAAACTTGTCACCTGGCCTTCTTTAGTGACTCTGAATTGCAGTTTCTATCAAACCAACTGAGACACAAAGAGATTAATATGACTTTACTATCTCAGTTCCTCTGCCGGTTGGGTTGCGTGTAATGCTCTCTGCGCTATTGATTTTTATATTTCTCTCTCCTCTCCCTTTCTTCCGGGCCGTCTCTCGATCTCACCATCGCTCCACCTCCAACAGCCTCTTCCGAGCCTCTGAAATGTCCTGCGGGTCAGACGGATGCTGGGCTGGATCAATCAGGAAAAGTAATCTGGGACGCCTCATGCACGCAAGCAGCCACTCACACATCACAGGTACTGACAAAAACACACGCTTCTCCTGTGACGCTCTCTGGCCTGCCTGCCTCCACTCCCATCGATCTGCATCTACTTTACCAAATGGATTCTTCTCCTCTTCTACTCTCCTCCACCTCTTTTCTCCCTGTGTGACTCAGAATAATAAATGTTCCAGACCGTGCAAGACGTGTATGTAAGCAATTTTTCATTTAACTTTGGCTTGACTTGTTTTTCCCCTCTTCCTACTCTCTTCTATTTCTCTTTTCTTTTTTGTGATGCTTTAGTCGTTCATCCGGATCAATGCAGCTTTCTCAGAGTCCCTTGTAGTCTCATGGTAATGGGCGCACGCTTGTGCGAGGTCAAAGGTCATAATAGATAGTGGTCTGTTACATTTGAAATGCTAACAGAAGTCAAATTTATCAGTGTACAAAAAATGTTCTGCCTGTAGAAAATTTATAGCTGTCTAACCTTCAGATTAAACGAATCGTAATGCTTCAATTTTAAAATATG